AAATGCCTGGTAAGGTACCTCAAATTTTTGTGAGTAAACATGTTAAAGTAGCAATACTTCAATGACAAAATCTTGGAAAATTTTATCTATTATTAAGGAACGTCTCGTCTGTCCTTAACGCTAAATTGTATATGCTGACAAGTTTATTGGCTCGACCAAAGAACCTGTGAAATGATGAATTAATACGAAACTGTTTATATTGTTGTTTCGACATCTTGTCTGTAGCTTGCCTTGATTTAGCAATATGTCGTACGTAAAGCTTGCTCTTGCGTATTGATCTGAGAGACGTAAACATCAAAAGCAGGTTAAAAGGGGTATATTGATTCATAAGTAAGGAAAGATGACAATTGAAAAGTTGAATTCAACATATTTATCATAAAACGTTGTTGTTAGGTACCATTAACGTCTTTTTCTAGTAAAAATCAGCACATGAAACAGATGTGTAAGACTATATGGTAATCTATTATAATCTATTTCAAGCTCATTTTGTGTAAGATTTTAAATAGATCATGGTTAATATAAAAAGAAAATTGGGTTTGCTAATCAGAGGGTGCAATTGGTACCCATGGAAATTCCGATAGTCCCTACCTACAAAAACTTATATTAATATTATCAATCAGAAACTCAAACATATTTTTTACTATCAACTTCAGAGTATTAATGTCAATCAGATTATTTTAACAAAATATTTTGCAGATGCCTAATGACAAGTTAACTAAATTTACGAATTTTTTGTTCTTGTTTTTATTCATTTTTATTCATTTATTTCATTTTTTGTTCGTTTTTTGGGGGTTGGGGGCGGGGGGTCGTCAATGTTCTCAAATGCCTGAAATGTAATTTTTAGTGCGGAATGACTGTATAAAGTGCGCAGAAGTCGTTACCTTTTTACGAGCAGATTTTTTTTAGCATTTACATTTGATGTATTCTTTATTCTTATTTGGATAATTCTTGCGATTATACCTCGTATATAAAACTAAAAGAATGTGAATCTGCTTTCTACTCTGACTAATTTACAAGCGTTTTAAAGTTAATAACAGTTACTGTTCTTTCAACCAAACTCAACAACAAAACAATGTTTATATACATGCATGTTTGAATTAATATTTATTTATTGTGTTTGATTTTTAAGAAATTGAGGAACATGAATAAGAACCCTTAAATCAATATAAATATGAAATCTTACCGTAAACTTCTCTTAATACCAAGTAAAGAAAGAAAACTCTTTCTTCCTTATACGTGTTTTCTCAGTGCGTCACAATAAAAATGTACACCTCACACACTGAGATTTTTTTTTACATTAGTTACAAACTTGATTTGTGGGCCTAAGAAATAATTATTTTTAATTTTTTTTATTCATTTAATTTTATTTAATTTATTGTTGTTGTTGTTGCTGTTGTTGTTTTATTTTTATTTATTTTTTTTGTAGAGGTCTGTAAAATGTAATTTTTAATAGCTTAAAGCAATATGAGCTGCATTTTTAAAAAAAAAATTATTTTGCTGTTAAAATGTTTTATTATGATTAATTTGTATGTCATTTAAACTCTTATGATAAACAAAATCAAAAAGAAACTTTAAATTGTTTCAAAGGAAATATTTCTTTACAATCGAATATATAGCATTGTATAAACATAATACAAGAAATCAATATTGTACAGGGCGACAATAATGCAATATTGCTTCAATTAAAGCTTATAAAAAGTTATAAAAAGTCAACCTCCCTTACTTATGCAGCAATATACCTTCATCATCTGCATACGGAGTATATATATCTAAGTTGATTCGATACGCAAGAGCATGCTCTACGTATGAACAATTTCTAAAACGAGGTAAATTATTGACAAGCAATTTGATGAAACAAGAATATCAACAGTCTCGTTTAAAGTCATCATTTCGTAAATTCTATGGTCGATACAATGACCTCGTCAGCAAATACAATTTATCATTGAGACAAATGTTGACAGACGTTTTTCATACTAATTGTTAGTCCATTATTTATAGACTGAATTGACGACAGATTTTTCCGTAATTTCCCGATCATGACAAGGAGCACACAGCGGGTGTGACCAGTCAGCAGGGGATACACACTTCTCCATGGCACCTGATCCCACCTCTGATTCGGAGGTCCGTGTTTGCTCTTCTCCTATTTTATTTTGTTTTATGAACTTTGATATTGAATACTGTTCGTTATCTCCATATCATACCATCGCAAATATGAACAACAGAAGTTTATAAATATACTATTTTTCTGTCATTGAAATAGATGATGATACATTTGCAACAAAAATTTTCCATGTCAAACTTGCAGCTCATATTGCTTTAAGAATTTACACTTACCAGCACTTGTCAACGTCAGTAAAACGTCTTTGTTTGTAAGGCTCACTATTGAAATTGTATTTTACAGGAAGTGGGATTTTTTAAGTGTTAATTCTACGATTGGTAATCAAACATATAATTTTATTAATATCCATATCAAGTTATTTAGGCCTGGGATGATTTTTTTTCTTAACCTGGTTTTGTAAGTTTTGAATATTTTTAGGTATAAATATGATCAATAATGAAAAAAAATGAATTTAATTCAATTGCTATAATTATACTCGATTCCAAAACTCTATAAAACCCATACAAAAATACATGCATGCAGGAAGCAGCTTCCAGTAAATGTTCTACCAAGCCTCTTTCTTTATTCCTTACCAAAATAATTACACCAGTGAAGTAGAAACTTCAGGAGTACTGTACAAAAGTATATCTGAGAAGTAATGTGCATCAGATGTAGACAATAAAAAACTTCAAGGTACTTTAAGAAAATGGGAAATCTCGAAAAGTTACCAAAACGAACATCAAAACGTTCGGCTTTTACAGCACTTTTTAAGATACATGTACAACCATTCCCCACCATATGCATACATTAAAGTCCAGGCTTTTGATATCGTAAACCGCTGCTTTTTTCAATTAAATAAACTGGAATTATACTTACATTGTCATTTGCAATTTTTTTTTAAAACATTCTGATTGAAATAATAGTACTCTGAAGTTGATGTTAAAAAGATACTAGTATGAGATTAAAATAGACAGAATCTAATATGCGTGTAGTTTTTTTTCGATATCAGGTCTTTCCACAATCCGTTGGAATTACCTTGGGTTTCGATTGCTCATCGTTATCAGCAGACCTATTTTGTACTCCATGAAGTTGATGAAACAAAAATATCAACAGTCTTGTCATCATTTTGCTAGTTCTAAGGTCGATACAATGACTTCTTTATCCGCAAATATAATCTACTAATAGGTCAAATGTTAATGTTGACTGGGATTCTTCACACTAATTGCAAAGTCATTTTAAAATTACACTCCTGGATCGCAACGGATGTTTCCATTTTTTGGAGTATGACAAGGAGCATATACACGGTGGTGTGATCGGTAGAGAGGGGATGCTTACTCCTACATTGCACCTGATTCTGTCTCTGATGTTTTTGGAGTTCCGAGTTTGCTCTGCTTTAGGTCTGTAGTGTTGAAATGGAGTTTGTTCTTGTATTTTGTTTCTGTATTCTATTTTATCACAAAATAATATATTCCATGGTCTGTCTTTATTAACATTTTCATCTGTTTTATTTGCATTACTTGAAGCGTAAAGAAAAGCTAAATTTTTCGCAATACTTAAGTATTAAAGAGAGATACAATATCTCCACCGAGTTATACCTGCCTATATTGATCTCAATATTTGTTTCTAATAGAATATTGATACTCCTCGCCATTCAAAATTCTACAAAAGAGTCCTAGACATTGTACATGTATATGATTTATAGTATATAGTTTTTAAAGCATAATTATCGAGTTTTTTACTAGTATTGATTTGGTCTTAAACTACCCTCTTTATAATTTAGGTGAATTTTAGAAAGTTGTTAGTATTACACAGTTTAATGCTTGACTTTATTTTTCTCCGCACTAGGTGACAAGGGGACAATAGTATACTAATTGTTTCAGGATTGTCAGAAAAGGTCCTCACACCCACGCACTTCTATTCTCCAGTGTCTACGCCGTTAGAAAGAGAGACAGAGAGTGAGAATTATTATAATAAATCCTTTAATTAGCAATAAAATATATTGATAAATCAAACTGGAAGTTACATTAATTTATGGAAACGAATGTATGCTCTACATTTTTTAAAACAAGAAAAAAAATTTTTTTTGATTCATAATCGTTGATTTCCAGATAAAATTACCAATTCCGAGAATACTGGTACGTGCATCTTTGTGAAGGGCATATTGTAACATCGTTATCTAGTATGAATAATTTAGTCAAGTCATCCCCGAGAGGTCATGTACGCGCCATACCAGTATGCCTAGTATTCTTCCTGATAAGTATTAGCTGCACGTGTAGCATCACCCTTTTTTCTCAAATCCCAAAGCCAAGGAAAATCGCTGAGCAAAAAAAGTTCATTCATATGATTAGTGAGCAATTAATTATACTGATCCCCCTGCAAATAATAATTATTTAGTGTGCAAAGAGTAACAATGGCTTACATTTACAATGAATTCAATAGAGATATTTTTCTTAAAAATTTAACATATTCAAACACATATTGGGGATTTAGATCAATTAAGATTCCTTTAATTGTCTTACTTCCTCACGTGCCATTTAGTTTTCAAACAAGACATGGAGAAAACAAACAGCCAGCAACAGAGCAAACAAGAAACTCTAAAAACTTGGACGCAGGATCAGGTGCCATGGAGGACTGAGCATCTCTTGTCGATCAGTCGTATATTAAGTAAACATCTGAGTTTCTAGCATATATTATATATCATTTTGTTCAATTATTCTCAATTCGTAAAGTATGTGTTGACTTCAACTTCAATTTTGGAGGTTATTTTCAAATTATTTTCAAATTACATACTGAAGTATATATAACTTAACATGCTTAAATACTAAAGTTTTAAAACTTCATCAAATTCAACACTTTTACTGAAGGCTGTGTCTTAGCTGTACATACAAATAAAAAAGATGTCTACGTGACCGGTATACTTTTATTAGTAGTAAATATACTTTGGTAAATGCATCTTCTGTATCAGTACATAATATCAATATACAGTACCATTCAAAACATTTGGCAAGCAACAAGATTTCAGCTCAATTGACAAATTAATCATAAATGACATTATTTCGCTGTCAGTTGTATTTCTGTGCATATGTGTATATTTGAAAACTAATATACCAGAGATAATCAATATGCAAGAATATCATTGTCTGATTTTTGTATATATTCATATATAACTGCATCATTGATATTTCCCCCATTGCGTAGAATACGATTCATATCTACAAATTGTCTTCTATTGTTCCTGCAATCGATATATTTTGACAGTTTTCCAGTATAGCTCTGGTTACAAGAAAAATTGCTCAGATCTAAATCTCATACTCTATTTGAACTTTGCCTATTTCGGTTTAAAGCGGCAAGCTTTCATGAAATCGTCATATGACAATTTCCCGTCGCCATCGCGGTCAGCTTTCTTCATTATTTCGTCCATGTCAATTTCTAACTGTCTCATTCTGCACTCTTCAAGTGTCGTCTGCAATTCTTCCCGCGTGATGAAGCCATCTTTGTTTCTGTCGAATTTTCTAAAGATTTCTAGCATCTCAGCCTCCCTAGAAAAGAAAAAGAATTTTGTAGCTGCAGAAACATACTTTCATAATAACAAGGTTTGGTATACGTGTATATAATTTTCTTTGATCCAGATAAGGTTTATATGAAAACAGAATAAACTGAAATATTGACAATAAAATGATTTTTGGAACATTTCAATGCTGGCAGCAGTCCAAGCAATGCCTCCCTTTACTTTAAAGTAAATGTTACAAATCAGCTGTAAAGTGCGTAGCAATATATCTCTGAACCTTCAACATAGTTTTTTTTTTCTTCACTCTGTGGTTTCTAAGCAGCTTTCTTGTCAATAGAAATGACGAATTGTTTGATCGGTAACCAGTTCTTATTGAAAACATCTTCCAGTGTCCTGCCCCTGAACCCTACTCGCAGACAATCGATGATTGGAACCTTGAGACATTCTTGGTCATTATTTTGGTGGTCCATGATCAAATCAATTTCTCCATATAAGCTAAGAAGAATTAACAGTCATTATAAAACTGGACATCATCCGAAGCAGCATTTTTATACTTTTTTATCATCTTAATATAACAGTTATCGGTCCAAAACTTGTTTTCTGTGTGGGAGGGCTCAAAAATTTTTCATGTAAGTCAGATAGTACAATATTATAATGTGACTTAAATCAAATACGTTTGCATGCATTATGTCCAGTCATTATCACATCATTAAATAAGACTCCGGTATACAAGAGCTTAATAGAAATAATTGAAATTCTATGGTTTTTGTCACTGGGGGACACTTAAGCTTATGCCTTGGTGTCTTTAATTGAACATTAAAGAGCTAAGTTCACGAAGTGCAAAAATCCGCCTAGTCATCAAAATAAGTGAAACTTCCTGAAATTATACTCGAAGACTTGTATGTTGTAAAACATTTTATTTTTTAAGAATATCTTTACTGGTTTTCTTTTTGCAGCCGTTTCAATTTAGCATTATTTTCTTAATCAATGCTGTCACGTCATTACGTTGACGTTATATATGCTTCAACACCGTGACGTTGACGTTTTGTATAAATATAACACATAAACGTTTATGGAATAAAATTCAACAATATAGGCCATTATTCAAAATTTTAAAATTTCAGGACAATGTTTCTATGAATTTTTTAAAGAAATTCTGAGAAATGGATTGTTTTGTTTTTTTTAATTTATCTGTAAGAAATGAGAACTGTTTGTTATATATTTATAAATAATGATTGAGTGGAAAACCGTGGATACATGCAACACCTTTTAAATGAAAATAAGGGGCAGATTAAGTTGAACACCAACACAAAGTGTAAATCTATCATATCTGAGTAAAACTGAATTTTTTTTAGTAAAATATATACTATGGTAGTCATGGAGGAAACGGATTTTAATATCCTTAAATGTGTTTTTATATGGTCCTACGGCATACAAACTTAAAAAATAGAGATTTTGACTGAGAATATACAAGTGTTCTTTAATAACAAAAACATCAAGCTTAAAAAAATGCTTAATTAGAAATGAATATGTTTGTAGTTAAATCATCATTTATTATATTGTCATTTAAAGATTTCGCTGCACCTCCTTAATTTATGGCATTTCCTGAAAATTTGATATGTACAGTTTTTACATGTTATGCACGAAAAATAGTGACAATATTGAAGGCTACATATGTATTTTACGCACACAGAGCAGTATATATATTTAGGAAAGAAACCACATAGTAGACTTTTAAACTAAATTGATGCAAAGTAGGCGCATGTAGCATCGTCTTTGAAAGAGGGGGGGGGGGGGCGGCCAGAGAATTTTTTTCACTTAAGTTGACAAGCAAAAAAAAAAAAAAAAGAAAAAAGAAAAAAAAAGAAAGAAATTGCTCAAGCTCGAAAATCCTATTTCGTGGGGGAGGGGTGGGGCAACTTTTTTCAATGTCAACTTTCTTTCACTATACACCAATTGTTTTGCAAACAATACTACATTTCCCTGATATCATTTTACTATGGTAAGAAGTGGGGGCACCAACCTTTCAATAATTATTTTTAATAGTATAGGTAATGTTGGGAAAAAAGTGTCCCCCCTCCCCTTTGTTGCTACGTGCCTACAAAGCAAAAACTCGGCCGCAAAAATTAGCTTTTTCGTTAAAAAAAAAGAACAAAACGAAAACACTAGATTTCCAAAGTATCAAAATTATAAAAGTAAAAAAACAAGACAACCACCATCTTCGCTAGCTAAGGGCTTGAGAAGATGCTTAAACGGAAATAGCACGTAAACCAATTATTTAATGTAAATTACTTAATTGAAATAAATCCACCAATGAACGATGAAAACGTTATACATGTATAATCAAAGTGAAAAATTTTATCAAACTTCTCTCAGTACCACTTTTTATTTTAAAAATCTACATGCACTTCCCCTTCTTTGAATACACTTCAACATGTGCGTGTTGAAATGGGCTTTTAAAATTTTTTTAATATTTACAGATTATATAACTAATCAATATTCTCATAACTGAATAAAATCCAAATATAAATTATTGAAAAACTAGAGGATTACGGTAAACCGCGTGACTAGCTTTCGATAGAAGGATTAGCTCAAAAAAAAAACAAAAAAAAAACTAACGCACGATGATTAGCATGACTAGCTATCGACGAAGAGATTAGCTCAAAAACTAACGCACGAAGGTTAGCTGATTCACATCGATTTCTATGGAATTGTTTAGATCTAATCACTTAATTTTATATAGGGAAAATTCAGTAGAGGTATAATAAACGAAACTAACTTCACGTGCTAATATCATGAATTTTTGTCATGTGACAACACCGATGTTCTTTCAAAATATATGCGGGGTGAAAAAAATCGTTGTGAAAAAAACATTTCTGCACTGTAATTCATACCCTGACAACATGTCAAGCAATATATTACCTTGCCATACCCCCCCCCCCATTACCATGTTGAATGAATCAGAGACAAACGCCCTATCTATGATGTTATAATTTATACTATACGTTATTTCAAGAAAACAAAAATGACAGACAGGTAAAATTACCAGTTCAATCCGTTTATGATACATGTAATACAATTGGGACATACCGGTATAATGAATTAATCCAATGACCAAGTCACGAAACATCAGTAATGTTCTTAATTTTTTTATCATACCGATTTTTAAAATTAAATGAAAATGCAATTCAACAATTAATTTCTTTTAAATAGTATTAGAAGACCTCACTCTCTCTCCTAGCTTCTCATTTTATGTCCAGGCTCTATCTCCTATAAGAATGTACTCTACTATAAACTGACTTGCTAATCTCGGCTGCCCTCTTTCCCTTAGACCTGAAGTCGAACAGGTTACATTTGAGAGGAGTATAACTCAAAATAAAAAGAGACTAGTGCTAATTGTAACGGGGACCGTTACAGATGTTCCCCAAACGCTCCCCAACTCCCTTTTGGTGGCATATTCCCTGTAATCTATATTAAATAAGAAATACTTTATGGAATTTAGACTTAATCAAGGTCTTCCCAGAAAAATACAAAATATATTTAAAAATAGGCATTGCACGCGTGTTCATGTGCGTAACGACCATATTATCTTGTCTACACTATCTAAAATTTTAATATACTTAATATCAAAGCATTTGATCCAAAAGTATTAAAAAATATACTCATTCCAGTGTATTTTTAATTTTACTCATTTCACGTGCACGCACGTGCATAATGGCTATACCTTCTTGTAGGAGTCCCTTATATTTATGTTCCCCAAACGGAGTTTGGGAACATATTGTTTTTACTCTGTTTCTTATTATGTTCCCCAAACGAAGTTGGGGAACATATTGTTTTTACTCTGTTTCTTATTATTATTATTATTTTTCTTCTTCTTCCTGGGTACTTTTTTGTCCGGGAGTGATCTTGTAAACTACACATCTGACTTAGGTAAAACCTTTTTAGGGTCAGTAGGCATGTTATGTAGATTTGCGGAACGAAGGTCATTTTGCACGCACGTGCTTGCAAGAGCGTGCACGTGCAACACGTGAAATGACCGATTTAATTGATATAGGAGTAACTTTTTAAATTTTTGATGAAATGCTTTCAAACTTATAATATAAGAATATTTTAGTAGCACAGACAATTTGACATGGTCAAAATAGCAAGATCTCACGCGCATGCACGTGCACTTCGCTCTGATTGGCTGAAACTAAAGTCTCAATATCTTTCTTGTTTTTTGACGAAATCCTTTGAAATTTTGAACATCGCCATGCATTAGGATAGCCTACAACATGATATATAGCAATTATCATGAAAACACGTGCACGCACGTGTGCTGCTTTCTGATTGGCTGAAAATTTAAAAAGCTATAACTCCCTTGGTTGTCAACCAAATAGGATGGGATTTGGAACATAGATAGATATAATGGACTACTACAAGGAAGTATGGTCATCATGCACATGCATACACGTGGGTGTACGTGCGCTGCAATCTGATTGGCTAAAACTTTAAACAGCTATAACTCCCTTGGTTTTCAACCAAACGGGGTGGGATTTAGAACATAGATAGATGTAATGGACTTCTACAAGAAGGTATGGTCACCATGCACATGTATGCTTGTGCGTGCACGTGAAATGAGCAAAATCAAAAATACACTTGAATGAGCGTATTTTTTTAATACTTTTGGATTAAATACTTTAACATTCAGTATATTGAAATATGTAGATTGTGTAGACATGATGATATGGTCAGTACGCTCATGCATTCACATGCGCACGTGTGCAACGCTAAAATTTGAATGAACTTGGTACACTTCTGGGTAAACGTTGTAAAGTCTCAAATGCATAGAGTTTGTCTTATTTAATGAAGCTTACAGGGAATATGGCACCAAAAGGGAGTTGGGGAGCGTTTGGGGAACATCTGTAACGGTCCCCGTTACAATTAGCACTAGTTATTATTATTATTATTATTTTTTTTCTTATTTGTTCTCCGGTACTTTTTTGTCCGCGAGTGTTCTCAGAAACTGTTCACCCAACTGACCTAAAACCT